CTATCTATTATTTTCTACTTTTTAAACTATTTTTCTGTTCCGCTCGGTCCCACAGAGGGACCGAGTAGAACTCACTGCTGTTCGGTATCTATGAGAATAGACCGAACAGCAGCGAGTAGCCTACCGCAGGTTCGGCTTAGCCGATCCAGATGTTGGATCGGCTGTGTCGAACTCCTTCTGCACTTCGGGTCAGCCGAACATGCTGAGCATGTTCGGCCGACCCAAAGCCATGCAAAGCCACCCGATGTATGGCTTATTTCAGCCGATATACGGCTGACATCAGCCGTACCAGCCTGAAGTGAAAAGCCGAACAGTGAACAGTGGATATAGTCCTGCTACTTAGCAAGGAGCAAAACCCAACACCAATCTGTTTTTCATGTTAAATGATTTGGTAAAGACACCTTTTGAACCTACACCATGAGATCCAAAAAAAGGCTTTTTTGTTTCTGACACGATAAAATACTGTAGCCCCTACCACCTTAAGTGGAGTGGCTACTAAAATTTAGCATTGCTAGTACTGTAATCAGTCTAGCTTATTTGTAGTCTGGCATCATCTGATTAATTCTAGTTGTTCTGCTACTGATTGCACCTCTCTGTGAGTGGGGTGTGACCTTGCCACAGAGTTGGGCAGCCAATAGGGGAGCATCAGAAGAGTCTATATCTCACCAGCCATTCACTGGGAGTGTCATGGCCAGTGGTGGGCAAGTGCATAAATAGTCAGGTATTGCCATGTGCTCTGGTTCAGTCCACCCCCGGGCATAGCCTGGGAGTTGCATGTACTATATTGGAGAAGCTGACTAGGCCTCAAGCATGGAGGAGGCCACATGTGAACTCAGGAGGCATCTGGAACTGACTGGGAGGATAACTAGAGGGGCCCTATGACTGCTGGAGGTACTAGGAGATGATATGGACCTCAGGAACAATATCAGCCCCTTTTCTACTGCAGTATTTACTGCACTGTGGAAGCCTTAAGGGATTAGTAAGCCTGGAGTCTGTGTATTTTTGCTATGGATGTCTAAAGCCCTATACCCTCTCTCCCAATTTTGCTGTCTGTTAATAAAGCATTGAAAAGGTCCTTAAAGTGACTGGTGCCCAATTTATTGATTGTTTCCTTCACTGGCTAAGGATTCACCACTGAGAATGAGATGGCAGCCTTCCCTACCCTTTAGGGGTCCGCCTTATGCGGATGTCAGGGGAGCACTACAATACAATAAAGCATTTTACTCCACACATACTCCCAATTGGCATGTGTGTGAAAGTGAGTGGAATTAAAGTGATCACAAGTTTTATTAACACAGTAAGAGTCAGGAACAAACAATGTCACTTAGGGCCCATAAGCGCATCCATTGGACTGCATTGCTCAACAAAGGCTCAGCCTAGGACCAACGTAATGACCCTCTGAAATCCATTGTTTCCAATAAGCCCAGTTCACACCAACACACGTCATTAAGGTGTTCTGGGTGAAAATGGAACATGTTGCATATAAATACATTAAAACACACTTTGGCTTCTGCTGTGGAAAAAAAACACATGAACACAGAGTGCATTAAAAAAGCACATCAGCACAAATCAACTCAATTGTGTTTAATGCGTTTCAACATGACCCAAGCACAACGCACTAGGTGTGAATCCAGCCTGCAAGTAAATATAATTCCTAGTTGGATGGCATACATTTTGCTAAGGCATTGTATATGATAAATAAATTGCTTTTTTATGAATTACCCTTCCACCATTTTTATCCTTTGAATCTTGGTGCTACCAATCCAGCCTTTCAGCAAACTCCTGTCTACATGCACTCATTCCAGTGTCAACTGCACATCATTACTCTGGATCAGCTTCCTGATAGTGACAACAGTGGACCATGCTTGCACAATGTGTGTCAGCATAGCCACTTGTTGTTTCCACCAAGGCAACATTTGACAGAGTAACAACAACAACGCCGGAGCACAGTTGGGAGACAGTTCACCCCATAACAGAAACTAAACTAATAAAAGCCTATATAGCAGGATCACCAGGTATTATTTTAATGAAGGCTTGAGATTTAAAAAGACTGAAAGCAACTTCTTAAACTACAATAATATATAAAAACTTTGATTGTAGTTATTGGGTGTACATCTTTGTTTAAAGAGAAACCTATTGTAGTTTCTTCCTAAGCAAAATGAAATAATAAAAGAAAACTTCTTTTACCTCTCTGGTTTTATTTCATCTTTAGTGTTGTAAACTTTGAAGAGTATATCAGGGTAAAATTAATGCAAACTATAAACTGCAGGACATTTTATATGTATTCTAAGAGTTTAATTAGCTCCAGATAAAATAATTGAATCTACTGCATTTTAAAGTGTGCTTGAAGGTTCAATTTACTTACTCTAAATGTTCACATATTTATTATATCCCTGAACTAGCAGCGCCAAAAACCAACATAACTTTTGTAGACAATGTCATGCAATACTTTAGCGAGTTGCATCATACTAAGATCTGGACACTTTTATCCATACTGACCATGCGCTTGGTATAATATGAATTGAAAACTTAGCTCTTCAGTAGGTCTTTCGTATTTGCAATAAGGATGTTGTACTTGACAGATATTGTTACTATTTACCAACACTTTGTCAAGCCTAATGCTGCACCATGGCTGAAATTGTAGTATAGGCAGAACTAAGTTCACACCTAGGCGATTCAGATGCCGAGCTGTTTTAGCGCAGTTGTCGCGCATTTTCGATCATGCGACTGTTCATTGTAAACCGTGCGATTTTCGTGTGTTTTTCAATGTATAGAGATGTCTATGGGACCCAAACCGTGCGACAACCGCCCGAAAATAGCTCCTGCTCCTTTTCGCACGACAGGCGATTTCGGTCGCACGATAAACCGCAAAGGTGTGAGCAGCCTCAACTGATTTCAATGCCACTCTGTGTTTTGCACGATATCGCACGACTAAAACAGCACGATAAATCGCCTAGGTGTGCACCGGCCCTCATGCTTAGGTGGTAACTTTTGTCTAAGGTTGGGAAATTAGGTGGGATACCATTTTGCAGCTAACTGAATTTTTGTCTGGACCTCCAAGGACCACTTCTAATCTTTACTCCTCTATATTTAGAAAAAATGATGGTATGTTGTGTTGAAATTCTAGAAAATGTATAACATTTACAGGGTTATTCACAAAAGGGTGAAGTGTTTGGAGAGGTCAGGAGAAGTGAACAATCTAGGACAACATACAAAAGCTGATTTGGAAAAATTCTCCATTTCAGCTCAATTTCCAGTTCAGCTATGTCATAGATTGTTCACTTCTCCGGCCTTCTCCAAACTCTTCATCCTTTTGTGAATAACCCTGTTAACATTACTGCAGGCAAATTTTTTGTTATGTGTTAATAAAAATAAAGAAAAGAATACATGTTTTAAAATAAAAAGCAGCACTAACATAAACATAGACGTTAGCTTTGCTGACCCTTTCTTCTTAAGGCCTTTGTCAATGGGCTTTTGCTTGTTTCAAAACTGCTTCTCTCCCCATACAAGTCTATAGAAATGTAAAGACTGCTTAAAGCAGAAGGAGGTTGAAGTAGAATTAAAGCGACAGTGGGTTTTTTTGCACATATCTACTGCTGGCAAGCAGTAGATATATGCAAAAGCATTAAAAAAGAGTTACCAAATAGATAAAACTTACCTGTGCCTCAGCAGCTCTCTCGCGTCTGAAGACCTGAAGATTCTGGAGCAGCAGTGAAACGGGGGTTGGCGCATGCACAGTAGAGATCTTCAGCCGGGAAAAGTGAGATACACACAGGGCAGCGTGCACGCGGACAGACGCCGTGATACACAGAAGACACAGCAGTCAGCGCTGGATCAGAGACTGGCACCAGAGCTGGAGAGACTCCTGAAAACTACTGGAAAGAAGAAGATGATTGGAACAAGAGGCATCATTTAGGGGAAGTCCTTAAAGCAGCACTGGGAGGGGAATTTTGACTTTAATGTCACTAACTTCAGTCAAAAGCACCTGTTAATGATTTCTGAATGATCTCAGAAGCCTCTCAAAATGATGTCAAAAGCACGCTGCATTTTTGTCAGCACATAAAATGATTGAGTTTATTAAACAGGGATGGAATTTCAGCCAAAACTGATGAATACAATTTGGTGCTGTGAGTTACTTAGTGCCTTCCACTGTATTCCTGGCGCTCCTGTGCCAAGAGCTCATTTTGCCATCAACCACCCTAAAGTCATAAACCTCCTCCTAAGTTCAACATAATGTAAAAAAAAGGAGAACTCTAACAGAGAATATGAGACCCTCTCGCAACTGCCATGTCAGGTTGGAAGAGGCCTGCAAGTGCAATATAAGACCCCATTCACACTGAGCGACATGGAAATCGCGCTACTTTGAGCGACATTGAGCGACGAGCGACATTGAGCGACGTGTCGCGCGACTTCTTCCTATTGGGCTGTATGCAATCAGGAGCAATATCGCTCAAAATCGCTCTAAAAAAGGTTCATGTAGAAGCGACAAGCTACCAGCGACGAGCTACAAGCGATATTGAGCGATATTGAGCGACATTGAGCGACGAGATGTGAACAGCTACATTGAAATGTATTGGTGAAGCTACATAGAGCGATATAGTGCGGAAATATGAGCGATATCGCTACAAAAATCGCGCGATAAATCGCTCAATGTGAACGGGGCCTAAGGCTGAATACATCTATCCAAAACTGAACGGTTTTGGATGGACTGATTTTTTAAGTGTTGCTTTGTAGGCCAATAAATTGTTCGCCCACCCAGCATCCATCTCTGGCTTTTTTTCATACTTCAGAAAATAATTATGAAAATGTGTTTCTTGTGAATTGTATTATGACTGTGTTAATCATTATTTCCCCTTGAACAGTGATAGACAGTGGTGGTCTCTAACCACTAAAATAGAATGAAAAAGCCTCATGTGAGGTAGAACATTTCTCAGAAGTCAAACCACATCACCTGTTCACATATATAAATATCTAGTCAGTCTCTGGCTGTAGTGCGAAAGCTCAAGATTGCTACAGTGATTCCTAACAATGAGGCATATCTACTTACTCTCAGCTGTGTCTTTCCTCCTGCATATCAGTGGCTGTAAGTACAGATTGCATATACTTGTCATCAAGATGATTTCTTTCATCTGTGGTTGTCTGACAGTACCATTAAACCTAAAACAATCTGAAAGGACTACTTATGCCATCCTCATATTTTTTTTAATGAAAAAGGTCATATACCTTGGGAGCCATGCAATTAGAGTATTATATCTTTTTATAATCTGCATATGTCAGGTTTGTACTATGTTGCGTTAGGCTATCAGTGGCATTCTTTTCTAGGATTACTGGACTAGAAGTCAGTTGTATGATAGCCTACCCTCCATACTATCTTAATTCTATTACTTATTTATATAGTGCTACAAGTTTTGCAGTGCTTTAAAGTGATCACTAAATGATTTGCTTCAATCATTGACTCTTAAATTGTATCTTTAGGTGAAACCATTTTTTGTCGTTTGTGATAGTGTGGAGAAAGATTAGACTTTTTGTCAAGTTTTTATAGCTGTCTGTGTCCCCATTGGGAAAGTCACCTATCTAGTTTGTACTAGTGACCATTTTAACTGAGAAAGAGTGAGGCGATATTTAAAACTTTAGAGTTGTTCCCAGAACGAAATGGGGATACCTGTTTCGGGGACCACTGTTTAAGAGGGAAATTGCTCTCACTTTGAAAGATTTCCTCTAACTTCCTATTGGGTTTCTGGGACAAGAAGTGAAGGGAAATTTCCTCAGTGGTACACAGTTAGCAAAAATGTTACCTGGAAGGGGTATTAACCCTTCCCTACTCTAGCCAAAGGTTTACAGTTAATGTGTTTACCACAATCATGCCAAGCACACTAAGGCTAATGTAGATTGCTAACAGTAATCAGAGGGGAAAATCCTTGCATCAGAAGGAATTTGGTGTAACGATTGTGCTGCTTTTTATGGAGGCAGGTTGCTGTTCTGGTACTTGCCATGGTGGATTAGCAAACTCCAATTTCCAAGTGGAAATTTGAATAGAATGGGAAGTGTTAAAAGCTATTTTATTTATTGGAACACTATACTTTGACAATCAGGTCTATCTAAGAGGGTCGCATGATAGCCCATCCCTTACAAAAAAACACAAAAAAAACACTGTGTAAGTTCCAGGCCTGCTGCTTGTAGCTTCCATTAGCTATGGACTCTCTTTCTTCGACCATGTGGCAGCACTCAAGCCTGGTCAGTGGCTGCTGAAGTGCCCAATGCGTTAATGTGGGAGAAGAGAAGAGAGCCACATGCTTATGCAGAACTACATGGCATTTCACAGGGCTCATTAATACTACAGAGTGTAGGACAGTACTACTGGCAGTGGAGGGGGGACGCAATCCAGTGAATATATTACTTTGCCCTGAGTAGCAAAATGGTCACCAAGAGAAGAAGCAAATTGAAATTGGCACTAAAAGCACTTTTGACAACGTTTGATATTTGTAGTAGTGTGGGGAAGAGTTAGAATGTGGATGTGGATGGAGCTCCTAATGTAAAAGTGGAACTCGGATTTGAAAGGTGAACTCCTAATGTGAACTCCTAATGTAAAAGCGGAACTTTGATATGAAAGTGGGGCTTCTGATGTGAAAGCGGTGCTCCTGTTGTGAAGGGGGCTACTGATACAAAGGGTGACTGATGTAAAGGAGTGGAAATCTTGATTTAAGTGGGCCAGTTCAGTGTGAAGAGAGAAACTTACTCTTTTGTGTATTTTTGCGTAGGGTCCCCCTTTAAATCTATGACATTTTAGACTGGGGTGCCTCAAGATTTTGTATACTTTTAAAGGGTGCCATGACTAAAGAAAAGGCTCGAGAAAAGCTGATTTAGAATATATTCCTCTTCCAAAACTGTCAATTGACTATATGTTCAGTATACGATATACTTTCCACTTCTCTGTTATTTTAATGTTTCCAATATTACTGTTTAATACCGGGAAATAGTGCTTATGAATGATTGGGTCTGGTCTCTGGTAACTTTCTTTTTTCAGTAACAGTGGTTATTGCACCTGCAGACTGAGCAGAAGAGCGGAACTACTCTGTTCAGTGGGTGAGGTTTCAATAGCCAGTCTGCTATTGGCTATTTCAAATACAATTACATCCACCTGTCACCTGCAGAAGCTAGCCTGCAGGAGAATGGGGCTGCATAGGGGGGGGGGATTGGGGGTTGTACCGTGGGGGGGGGGCGGGGGGAGTTCAAGTAGCTGGTCTTGCCTCGGGCGCAAAATAGTCTTGCACCGGCCCTGATCATATTAACATTTACACCACCGAAAGCCCAGCAGGGAACGGTAGCTGTTTATACAGTACACTTTCTGAGTGGGAAGTTTTGGCGTGATTTTCAGGAAATGTATCTTATGAACTTTACTTTGACACTTGAATAGAGAGACTTTGTGACTGTTTGTGTTTACTTACGATTTTTGCGAATATTTGCACAGAACACTGTTACTCTTATTATACTGTACTTGGTATTTCATATGACTATTGCATCTATGGACCAGCATAAAATTCCTCATAGCCTATATGTATTTTATTGTATAGATCCTGATTGTAGCTTGTTTTAGGCTGCATGCACAAGGCTCTAAGAAATGTACTGATCATATAGCCATTTTTTAATGGGCCAAAAAATTTCTGGGTAACGATCGGTAAAATGCTTGCTTTTAAACAGATAGTCACGTATGTTTTTAACTGCATAAATGTCTTATTCCACTCATTTCTGCTTTCAATGTTATTTTCTTATTTGGACTTAATTTACACACTTACACATAAAAATGTGTTTACACATGAATATTCGTTAGATTTATGTCCATGGACGCAGATTTTTTGATTTTGTGTTATGGATCTGAATGCAGAGCATGTTTGCACACCTGTGTGCATAGCTTCATTAAAAACAATACACCTGTGTTCAGATCCAGAAGGGCCATGTGCATGGGGCCTAAGGCGCAAAAGAAATGTTTAGGTCACAAGTTGCAACAAATGTTACTTGACCACTGACCAGTTGCAGGGGAATATTTAAACAATGTTGAAACAATAATATTCCAGTTCTGATTGTGTCCAGAGTGTTACCGCATATTCATCTTTTTCTATCACAATATGAAGATATCCACATGATTTCTATTAAAATTATAAATTGAACTCACAAATTAAGTCTTTCAGGGTACAACACATAGCACTGCTCTGAACTGTGCACAGGTTCACTCCACTCTTTTTCTTCTATGAAATGGTGATCCTGAAAAACACCTGATGGTGATGCTTGAACTCCCTCCTTGTCTGCCGCCCCTCCTGTCTCTGAAGGAAGCAGAGAGATATGGGAAGTTCAGTATCAGAGTCTTCAGGAAGTACACATCAACTACCCTCTGTGGAGCTGTGTGCATTTTATTCTGCAGGGAATTAACACAGATTTTTTTTAGCTTTAATGAACTTTGGACTTTAGCTGTATTTACTATGTTGCATTAGCAGCTTGCTGAATGCTTGCACATAATGCCTGGAATTGCTCTTTAAAAGCTATATTGTACTTTAATCTGCAGATGTTTGTGTGGAAATAATTGGAGGCAAGGAGGCTGTTCGTCACTCTAGACCTTACATGGTTTTTCTGAAGCATGGAGAAAGAGCATGTGGAGGGGCCCTTATTAAAGCCAACTGGGTGATAACTGCTGCTCATTGTACCTTGTAAGTATTTTATATTGCAGCTTATAAGACACATAGCCAAGAGAGACAATAAGACCTTATTCATAACTGAGTGTATTGAAGCACATTTGCTGAAGCACTTTAACGCTCAGCAAGAAGAATCACATAAATAGCACCATTTTATATCTGAGCAATGTGTCACTTGTCACTTGTAGCTTGAAGCTCAGAAAAGTACATTAGCTTATTTTGGTGCACAATGAAGCGCTTCTGTTCCCATAGACTTTTAAGCAAGCGCCTGGAAAACACTTGAAAAACGGGTGTTCATGCATGTTTTTGAGCGCTCCCATTTAAAGTCTATGGTGCCAAAAATACACAATTCTGCTCCTGTACTGTATAAAACTGCACAAAAAAATGTGTTCATAAGCAAAAAACCTTCTAAATCGCTTGGTTATGCTCACACTCAGATGTGAATGGGGCCTACATATAAAATATTTAACAACTGTATTTCTATACAAAATGCATACAAACAGCACAAACGTTACATGTTTGATGCAAGAAGTAAGGGAGAGAAGTAGAAACGAAGAAATAAAATAATCGTATGTATTAGCAAAATGTGCCCATTACTGGAATTAATCATTCTCAATGTTGTAGTTTTTTAAGGCGACCCTGTCACAAAATTAAAAGTTGAGAAAAAAACTCCTCCTGTAAAGAAGATATGCCTTACCTAACTATGGAGCTTGTAGAATAAGAGTGTCAGACACCTGGTCAGTGGTCCCCTGCTAAGTGCCCTGTTTCCACCGGCTGGTCCCTAGGTCACCCCTGTGCCCTGGGCCTCCAGTGACATAAGGGCTGGCAGAAGGAACAACAGTGCTTGCTAGATTATGATTCATATTATTATATACAGGATTTATATGGTGCCAACAGTTTTTGCAGCACTTTACAATAGAAGAAGGCAGACAGAGTAGCTTATTGATGAAGAGTCTGGGATAGGAAGTTCCAGAAGATGGGAGAGGCTCTGTAGAAGTCCTGGAGGTGAGTATGTAAGAAGTTGACGAGGGAGCAAGAAAACAGGAGGTCTTGGGAGGAGCGGAGAGGTCTTTTTTGGTGACATTTTGAATAAGTGGGAGATGTTAGGGGCAGAGTTGTGGATGGCTTTGTAAGTGGTTGTAAATATTTTGAGTCTCTTCTTTGGGCGAGTGGAAGCCTGTGGAGGGATTGGCAGAAGGGGGTTGCACAAACTGGGTGGTTGGCTAGGTGGATTAGTCTAGCAGCAGCATTCATGATAGACTGAAGGGGGGATAGCCTGTGTAGAGGTAGCCCAATGAGGAGGGAGTTGCAATAGTCAAGACGAGAGATAACAATTGATAAATTAGTAGCTTTGTAGTTTGGTTCCTTTATTTCTTCCTTTCTTCCCCCCTGTCACAGACCTACCCGGGCCGGAGCACCATGCCCGCGGCGCACCATCCCGCCCATGACGTCACACCCGACTCCTCCCACTGATCGCGGCGCCTCCTCAAGAACACAGGTGAGTCACTCACTCGGCGTTCTATCATTGTGGAACGTCGAGCGAGTGACTCTGTGGGATACAGACCTTGCTACTGACACAGCTAGAGAGATTGGGGCTGAGACTGCTTTAGGCCCCATTCACATGTAGCGACTTATCACCGCGCGATATCGCGAGAAGTCGCCGGCTAATGATAGTCAATGGAGCTGTCTTAGCTCCATGTCGCTCGTCGCGGTCGCAAGTCGCTTCTACAGGACCCTTTTTTTGGCGGATTTTGCTTTTTTTCTATAGAGCCCGACTGAGAAGGTCGCGCTACCGTGGCTGGATCGTCGCCCCGAAAGTCGCGCTATCCCGGCCGCTGCAAAGGTATGTCGCTACATGTGAACGGGGCCTTACAGGGACCCAGCAACCGACCAATCCACAGAGGCTGCCCTCTGCCATCCCAAAGACCGGGCTAGACCTTCTCATTGTCCACACACAAGAACCGCAAGTACTAGGGCAGTGGTGGCGAACCTTGCTATTAACAGAAATGTATCTTATTTGTGTATCACTCGGCTGTAGATCCTCAAATCATCTCTGAATTGGTGCTGACACTGTCCTTCCTTCTGGAGGGGGGCTACTGTTGTTCCCCATGGTCTCTGTGTGTGTTTGTAAAGTAGTCACGCTCACTCTGGACTACAATCTCATATTTAGTTTACTAATTTGTATTGAGATTGTAGTCCATCAGGGGAGCAAGTTAGGAGTGATGATTACTTTACAACACACACAGGACCATGGGGAACAAAAGTAGCCACCCTGCAGAAGAAAGGACAATGTCACCACCAATTCAGAGATGATTTGAGGATCTACAGCCGAGTGATACACAAATAAGGTAAATTTCTTGTACTAGTTGAGGTATTTGAATGCACTTTAACTCCCAAGTTTAGTGTCACTTTAAATAAAAAAAATGCAAATATCTTTATCTTATTTTGTCAGTGGCGCTCACTTAAAGGAGAACTATGGGGTCAGGGCTTTTCCCCATAGTTCTCCTAAGGGTCACGGGAGAACGCAAACTAGCGTTCTCCCGTGACCCAAAGCTCAGTATACCACGAGCTGTAGCTGAGACGCCGCAGCCGGAACGGATCCCGACATTGCTGTCGAGATCCACCCAGCTGCTGGATTGACACCTGGCTCTGCCTATCCAGAGGCAGAGCCAGCTGTGCCCGCCCCCTCCCCGGTCTGTTCCACCCCGTCAGGCGGACAGGGGAGGGGGGAATCCCTGCACGGAGCCGTGAGTGACAGTCACGGCTCTCCGCAGGGATAGATCGAGAAGTGAGCGAGCAACGGTTTGTGTTCGCTCACTTCCCGATCTACTGAGCCGACCTGTGACAGTTTAATTGTCACAGGTTGGCTCAGATTATGAGGTGAGTGAAAATCACTCATCTCATAGTTCTCCTTTAACTGCTATTCCCTGTTTCCTCCCTTAACTTGATGCTGTGTGGGTGGAGACTGCTACTGCTAAGAGCCGCTGGTAATTAGGCAGGACAGGCTTTGAGGGCGGTGTGGCAGTGTGTGACATCACAGACTGACCAGGGGACTACAGGCACGTTTTATCTCAACACAACATCATCTATGTCTCAGAGAGGAAGCAGGAAAGGAAACTGAGCATACTGGCACAGATCTGGTTTTGTGCTTAGCATGCTCAGAAACAAACAGTAAGGGCTTCCTATAAAAGGGGAACGGCAAGAACTATTTAATGAGTCCTCTATTTAAACTCTAGACAGATTTAATAAATTCAAATTAATGCAGCTCTTTAATCATGAATACCACATAAAATATATTTGGTTAAATGCAAGCAGTATAAGTACCTGAATATGACCAGGTATCAGCCTCTTTGCAGTCACTGTACAGCAGGGCTGAAGTGTGAGAAGAATCGGCAGAAGTAACCAATCAGTCCATGTGCTGAAGAGAAGCATGCTGATAGAAGGAGCGAGCAGAGTGACAGAGAGATGAGCTCATTACTGTCTGCCTTTCACTGTGCAATTACAGGCAAAGAAAGGTCCAGGACACTTTGGGCTCAAAGAATGTAAGTTGATTGATGCTGACCGATGATCATCAAGTGGCATAAAAGAAGTACTGCGGGGGGAGTGCTTCATATTGAAAGTGAATATTGCAATTAAAGCTGTTTTTTATCTTATCATTTAATGGGCTATAATGATTGTTTTTGTTATTTTTTTGCTTTAAACAAAAGCTATGTATATGTTAATTGCGAGGGACAAAGGAATGTAGTCCCCGTCATTTTGATAATTATGGTGACACACACACTAAGGAGGGGGGGGGGTTCTATATATAATATATATTTTTAATGCTCTGGTTTTGCTTTAACTGTGTGAACTGTAATTTCTTATGAGAAACCTAGTGGGTATTCGCCCCTAATATGTGGTTAAGATATTAGTTCACTAAACTTTCTCCTAAAATTTCTTGAATACAAAATATTAAGAAAACAAAAACAGTAAATGTTTTTATTTTGTTTACAGCTGGAGAAAAATGCCACGTTAAATAAGTTTGTGACAATCCTGCCACTACCAAATCAAGAAGAGAATGTGAAGCCCAAAGCCCAGTGCAGCACTGCAGGGTGGGGGGTCACTGATGTGAAAAGCAACAAAGATTCAGATGTCCTTCGTGAGGTCAATCTGACCATTGTAGACAATAAAGTCTGCAACAAAGCTTACAGCAAGGCTAAGCCAAAAGTGATAATAACCAGCAGTATGATATGCGCAGGACCACTTAAAAAGCGTAAAGATGACACTTGCCAGGTAAGAATCCGAAATCTTTTCTAAAATAATACCTGGTGATCCTGCCATGAAAGTCTTTGTTTATACACTTCCTGTTATAGCGTGACAGCTCTTTTCCAGTGCTCCAGTGTTGTCACTAGGGATGCACAATACCATTTCTTCAGACCGTGTACGAGTACCGATATTTTTCCTTAAGTGCTCACCAATACCAATTACCAATACTTTTTTCTCAGTGTCGTGTGACAGTTTTTCTAAAACAATACAGTTGAATCATTTAGGACATTGGTGAAGTGCCAGGGCCTAGTCCCAGCTGCAAACTCTGCGCTCCTGCCATCGACTCCAAGTTGTTGGGGGACTACAAATATTAGCAATACATTATAGAGCAGTGCAGAATACCACCAGCTATAGAGGAATACAAATCCCAGCAATACATTATACAGCAATGCCGAATAATACCAGATTTCAGATGGCTATGTGGGGGCTCAGGAGGGCTGTGTGGGGTCTCAGGAGGCTGTGCAGAATCTCAGGTGGGCTTTCATGTTCTATAGTGGGCTGTGTTGACGCTCAGGTGGGTTATAAGGGGTCTACGGTAGGCTGTGTGGACTCTCAGTTGGGCTGTGTGGGGTCTGTGGTGGGCTGGGCAGACTCTCAGTTGGCTATGCAGGGTCTATGGTGGGCTGTGTGGCATCCCAGGTGGTTATGCGGGGTCTATGGTGGGCTGTGCAGGTTCTATAGTGGACTGTGCAGGTTCTATGGTGGGCTGTACAGACTCTCAGGTGGCTATGCAGGTGGGCTGTTCAGAATCCCAGGTGGTTATGAGGCAGGGGTGGACTGGGCCAGGGGGCAGGGTGGCAATTGTCCCCCGGGCCTCTCTGCTGCCTTTAAAAATGGCCCCTGCCCGCGGCCGTCAGGGGGCCCGTCACTGGCCCCCGCTAAAAGAAGCCGCCGGTGCAGTGGCTCCCTCCCTCCTCCGCCATTTGCACCACTTGCATCAATATGTGATCTGGCTGGCTGCATCAGGCACTGAGGTCAGCCTTGAGGAGCGAGCGGCCGCTGAGTACAGAGCCGCATCTGATGTGGGCAGGCTGGCTGGCCGGGTGCATGTGGCAGAGAGTCGGCGGAGGGAGGGAGCCACTGCAGTTGCGGCCACAGCAAAGGAACATAAAATAAAACATTTTCTTTTTTTTTAATACTCACCTGATCCACCGCCCAGTGCAGCCTCCCGTCTCCCACGCTGTCAGAAGCCTGCGTGCTGTGTGCAGCTTCTGAGAAGATATGCTATTAGCGTAGCGGTGGCTTTAAAAAATGCTCATCCAGCTTCCTCGCTACGCTAATAGCGTATCTTCACATCGTGGGAGACGGGAGGCTGCACATTTTGGTGCATCCAGGGATCAGGTGAGTATTAAAAAAAAAAAAAGTTTTATTTTTTGTTCCCGGGGACATAGTTTGTCAGGGGACGGTCTCCTCAATCTGGGGACTGTCCCCAGAAATCGGGGATGAATGTAGAGCTGCAACAACTAATCGACCAAGTCGATTATAATCGATGGTTGAAAAAGTTCTCCATGTTTTCAATCATCGATTATCGGCTTTCGATTAGTTGGCCCTGTTCACGGCTCCACACACGCTGCGTGCCGCACCTCCTCCCCGCCTCACACTTGCCGCTGCTAGACCCACCCGCCTCCATCCACGCCGCACCTCCTCCCCTCCTCACGCTTGCCGCTGCTAGACACGCCCGCCTGCATTCACGCTCCACACCTCCTCCCCGCATCACACTCACCGCTGATCCATGATCGGCACAGGGATGCGGGGAGAAGTAAGGAGGAGCAGGTGTGGGGGGATGACAGCCGCCGACAGACAGTCCCGATCTCAAAAGCAAGTTGCTGGAAGACTGCTCAGGTAAGCCTGCACTTCCCACCCACATGGTGCTCTATAATGTATTGCTGGGATTTGTATTCCTCTATAGCTGATGGTACATTGTGCTTTATATTATACATAGGAATACAAATCCAAGCAATACATTATACACTGTATGTATAATGTACTATTGCTGGGATTTGTTGTACTTCTCTATAGCTGGTGGTATTCTGCATTGCGCTGTATGGAGGACTACTAATCCCAGTAATAATATATTATACAGCGCAATGCGGAATACCACCAGCTATAGAGGAGTACAACAAATCCCAGCAATAGTACATTATACAGCGCAATGCAGAATACCGCCAGCTATAATGTACTATTGCTGGAGCTATTCTGCATTGCGCTGTATAATGTACTATTGCTGGGATTTGTAGTCCTCTATAGCCGGTGCCATTCTGCATTGATTGCTGTATAATTTTACACTTTCCATTTCACTATATTGCACACCACACTTTTTTTTTCTTCCACCGCTCCAAGCTTGCTCATGTGATGGGACTACAATCTCAATACAAACTAGTAGTCCATCACTGGAGCCATTTTTAAAATCCAGATGAACCTGTTAATCAAACTCAATAATTCGATTCGGCTAACTAATTGATTTTGAAAATAATCATTAGCTGCAGCTCTAGATAAATGGTCACCCTACACCAGGGATCCCCCACTAACCACCAGGGAGCCTCCACTGGCCACCACAGAGCCCCCCACTAACCACCAGGGAACCCTACACTACCCACCTGGGAGCTACCACAGAGCCGCCACTAATTATTAGGGAGCCCCTACTGGCAACCACAGATCCCGCACTGACCAGCAGAGAGCCCGCACTGACCACCTGCCAGTCCGCATTGGCCACCTGAGAGCCTAGTTAGGGAGCCGCTTCTGCTGCACCCACACGCACCCGTGAAACTCTCTGGACCCCTGGTGAGAGCCCGCACAACCCTCCTGAGACCCTGGAGACATCGGGCGGCGAACCCAGAGCAACAGAGTGTGTAGCTTCATATTATTCTGCAATGCTGTAATATGTATTGCTGAGATTTGTAGTTCTCTATAGCTGATGCTGTTCTGCATTGCTGTATAATGGTATTGCTGGGAATTGTAGTTTTCTATAGCCAATGCCATTCTGCAATGCTGTATAATGTATTTCTGAGATTTATAGTCCTCTATAGCTGGTGGTATTATTCTACATTGTTGTATAATGTGCTGAGATTTGTAGTGCCTCTACAGCTTGGAGTCCGTGGCAGAACTACCAGTGTCGCAGCAGTCGTACACACGCACAGCACTGATGAGGTATCCCTCCACTACCAGTGTGCTTTAAGTTTCCTCAACCGATAAATTTCTCGACCGCATCTCTTCCAGGTGCGCATGTCATGAAGAAAGGGGGTCATGAAAACAGCTGATTAAGCTGACTCGGCCTCACTGAAAGTGACACAGTCGAGAAAATTTATAGGATCGAGAAAAATTATAGAACTCTGACTTTCACACTGTCCGGCCCCCCCACTATCCTTCCACAGCTCACAGCCCAGAAGCATGGACAGCCAGCGGCAGTCTACAGTGGGTGAGAGTGCCTAAGTACTGGACATGGAGTGGAGTAAGGCCAGAACCATGTAGGGAGCACAGTGGGAGGAGCGCACTATCCCCTAGCCAGTCGTTCCTTTCATGGACTTACTAGGAGTCCTCGCATCACCCGACCATTCACACTACCGTTACATGAATGGCAAAAGTGGCAGACAGGGGCAGGGAGAAGGTGGGGGAAGAAGCAGAGAGGGAGGGGGGCAAAGTTGCTGCACCATGGGCCTCTGGGTTGTACTTGCCCCCTGGGCTAAAAGTTGCCAGTCGGCCCCTGTTATGAGGGGTCTATGCTGGGCTGTGCAGCTTCTATAGTGAGCTGTGCAGTTTGCATGGTGGGCTGTACATACTCTCAGGTGGCTGTGCAAGTTCTATGGTGGACTGTGCGGACTCTCAGGTTCTATGGTGGACTGTGCAGGTTCTGTGGTGGGCTGTGTGGACTCTCAGTTGGGCTGTGCAGGTTCTATCTTGGTCTGTGCGGACTCTCAGGGGGGCTGTGCAGGGTCTATGGTGGGCTGTGCGGGCTCTCAGGTGGCTGTGCAAGTTCTATGGTCTGTGCGGACTCTCAGGTGGGCTCTGCAGGTTCTATGGTGGACTGTTCAAGGTTCTTGGTGGGCTGTGTAGGCTCTAAGGTGGCTCTGCAGGCTCTGTGCTGCAGGCTGCTTTGCAAGTCTTGCTGCACTCCTTACCGGATACCCCAATAGCTGGGGAGGGTGCTTGTAATGAGTGCGGATGGCACCACTGTATGCAGAAATCGTTGTGAAGGAAGTCACAAGCACACCGAAGAATCCTTACAGGATCACCAAATGTTCATTTTATTAACAATTCATTTTTCACAGTTTTCATTTCACAATTGTTTCATAAAATGAACATTTGGTGATCCTGTAAGGCAGTGGTTCTCAACATTTCTAGGGCAGGGACCCCTTGGTAACATTTGCCAAGTTGTGGGGACCCCCAACGGTAAAATTTAGGGATGACGCGGCTGCTGCAGTGACATCTGGCGGCGTGGCGGGAGAACTGACACTGCTGCGCTAGGAGGGGGCTGAGGACGACTCTCACCTAGCACAGCAGAAATCACACAGCGACCCCACAGGTTGAGAACCACTGCTATAGGCAAAGACAGGACCGGGTTCTGCAGCTGGAACTAGAAGAATTGGATTTCAAGTGTGTGGCTATATAATGTATGCGGTAAATACTCCGCAGTACTGTCACTGACAGAGCAGCCCATAGAGTTCAGAGTAAAGGCTGTGACACACTGCATGCGAAGCAGCGCACTGCCTCCGCGAGCAGTGTGTCATGTAATTTTCTCGTCAGCTTGCGAGAGCTTGCGTAGCTGAGCGTGCCGAGATGAAAAATTTCATCTTCAGCCAATCGGCTTGCGCGTATAAACCTGCGCGTCAGTAGGCGACGTCTGGCCAAGACGTGCGGGGGAGGAGAGCAAGGTAAGTAGCAGTCGTCTCTCCTCCCACAACGCTCAGCCTCCTGTGACAGATAAGGAGAGCGGTGGTGGGGGGGCGCAGACAGCTGTCAGTGTTGTCACTGGAGGCTGAGCTCTCCTCCCGCACCGCCCCGCTCAGCCTCCTGTGACAGATCAGGAGAGTGGCGGTGTGGGGGCAGAGACAGCTTTCAGCTGTCACAAGAGGCCGGGCCTCCTGTGTCCTCCGGCCGAAAACCGAAACTTTTTTTTCTAACCGTTTCAAGTGTTTGTTGTTTGCCTGAAATGCGTGGTTCCAAAACATCGCTTGACAATGTGACACGATGAGAGGTCAATAAACATTGACTGAAAATTAATTTGGAATGCGAGTGACCTTTTCTACATTCATTTACTGATTCACAGAGGCATCCATAGTCACTTTTTGTACCCACCCAACTCCAAAGGGTTTATATTCGATCAGGAGTGTGATGGGTTCGTTTAAGTTTTAAATAAACAAGCACTTTGGATTACAATACTCTTGTTGTGCTGGTGACATCTATCTACCTATGATGATGTGCACCAGACACCCCTAACATCAATGTTGGCTTGAAATTAAAATCTAGTAGCAAAAAAATAAAATGTCAGACCTAACCACTGACCTTTTTCCCTAAGATTCTTTAGTGGAGCTCTCTAAGTAAGTAGTGAAGGTACCCTAGAAATACTGACTGTTTTTCAATCCTGACAATTATCTTAAAGTGATATTAGTATTACTATTAATATTATTAATGTTAAACAGGATGTATATAGGACCAACAGTTTGCACAGCACTTTACAATATAAGGAAGACATTACAGTTACAAAACAAGATGGTTAGGAGGGCCCTGCCCGTGAGAGCTTGCAATCTAAAAGGGAGAGGCAAGTAATATATAAGGTGGTAGATGTGTGGGAATTAGTTGTTTCAAAAAGTGATAGTTCAGTGGTTAGGTAGAGGTTAGATAGACTTCATTTGCAATGTTTACCTCTTTGAATATAGTTGGTTAGTACAAAGACTAGTTCCTCAATGCTCTCTTCTCCATTGTTTGTTCATTGCTTACCCTGTGTCATTTTAGATGTAGGAATTTGTATTTAACTATAAAGTCTCATGCATACAATCATGTATGTGCGTTAATGCATTTGGCAGCCAATTCATTTTCACTGTCAAGCAGCCTGATCACGTGAATATAATAGGTCCTGATTTCTGAACTATTTTTAAAAGCATACGTTCCCTATTCTACTCCACCCCAATCTGCATGCTGCGTTGTACATCCATGCCTCCTTATTCTGTATGCTGTTCTGTATGTTCCCTATTTTATACCTCCTCATTTTGCACACCATGCTGTATGTTCCCTATTTTATACCACTTCATTCTGCACAGTATGATGTATGTCGGGTATTCCACACCACCTTATTTTGCTGACTGCATGCATACCCTATTCCACACACTAATTCTGCACACTGGACTTTATGTTCCCTATTCCACACAGCCTTATTCTGAACACTGGACTGAACGTTCTCTATTCCATAGTGCCTCATTCTGCATACTGTGCTGTATGTTCCCTATTCCACATTGCTTCATTCTGTACACTGAGCTGCATGATCCCTATTCCACACTGCTTCATTGTGCACCCTGGGCTGTACATTCTCTACTCTTTTCTTTTCTTTGTATCCCTATAAAAAATATGGGCAGTCCTAGCAGTCTTTCTGTAAAGCTGGCCATAGACTGCTTAGGATATTTGAAAAAAATGTCATACAAAAGAGCTTTCTTTCCACCTTCTATTAGTTGATGGGGTCAAATCAATGATCGATTTCAACCATAGTGACGGAAAAACTTGAAGGAGCAGGTTGGAAATTTTTTCTCAAAGGAATTAAATGCTAAAAGTGAATGTGGCTTTCCTTTGAGGAAACTCCATTCATTCCAAAATCGAATGTTAAAATCAAACGAAATTTCGTATGACATTTGTCAGGTGATAATTTGTCAGTCGTACGAAAGTTACTTGGAGTCTCTCTGGAATTTAGACAGTCATACGAAATATGGTATAATGCTATTTATTCTGAATGTAGTTGATCCAGTCCATTTACTTGGCTGCAGCTTTCCAGGCACATCAAGGATTGTATTGAGGCTCTCTTGGCAAAATCTTTTTTTGTTTTGTTTTGGATAGAGTGGGGAAGGCAAGTTTTTTAATGCTGTCTGTGTCCTTATTACAATTTCTCACCAGTAGAGAAAATTTAGGGAAATCCAATCATTTTAGTGTTGACCTCAGAAGAGGTAAATGGAAATTGTCCAACGAGGTCACTATTCTGGGGACAACTGTCTTATAGGTGAATTCCCTTGATTCATTTTGGGGTATTTCCTCTTAGTTCCTCTGGCATCATTGGGACAGGAAATGAAAGGAAATGTCCACGATAGTGCTCAGACAGAAAAATAATAAACTAACCTACTCTATGCAAAGTAAAAAACGTTTTGCTATACATACACTTTAAACTTGCAGTCTGAAAATCCAAACTACCTTCTAACTTCAAATACCTTCTTTGTTCCCAGAGACTGTGCTAGTCTAAAGCAAACTCACAGACCTTTGGTTCCATAGGGACCAAGGTCTGTAAGTGGTACCTTGGCAGCAGATTCTAAGGGTCCCCACACACCTTACGATTATCGTACGATAATCGCGGGAAATCCCGCGATCGTACGATGATCGTAAGGTGTGTGGAAGCCGTGCGACCTCTACTACTGTAAGGTCGCACGACTTTAAACTTACGGACATGTTCGAAAACCCGCCGAGCATCGTACGATGTTTGGCGGGTTTGTGGCATGTCCGTGCGATAACAGCCGTACGGGCCGGTGTGCGCAGGCGCACACTGCCCGTTCGGCATTGCGGTAATCGGAAGCCCGTCCCTCAGGGGGCGTGGCTTGCGATCATCGCAAGTACGATCTGTCTATGCAACATAGGCAGATCGTACGTTTTTTGAAGTACCTTACAACCATCGCAAGACAAAAGTCTTGCGATGGTTGTAAGGTGTGTGCCCAGCCTAAGAGAGGAGAGGTGAGAAAGTTTCTGTGTTAACTGCTCCCACACTTACTCACCATCCCTCTCTAAGTGGGGGGCAACAGCAGGTGCCTTCCCAAGGCTACAGTACTCTTCTTTTTGTAGATCATCTTCAAATACTTTCTGTGTTCCCCACAGACCTTTGGTTATGTAGGGACCAAGTTGTGTATAAACCAAAGTCAGGTCTGTAAGTGGTACCATGGCGGCAGAACCTAAGAAAGGAGAGGTAAGAAAGTGACTTGTTAACTTCTCCTACAGTCACTCACCATCTCTCTCTAAGAGATTGGGGCAGCAACAGGTGCCTCCCAAAGGCTAAAGAACTTTCCCTTTTGTGGGTCAGTATCTTCTAGTAGACATGTGTGCCAGCAAATAATTTGTTTTGTTTCGTTTTCATTTGGATTTTTCATTATTTCATTTTTTGGGATTCGGGTCCGAAAGTCAATTCATTTCTGGATTTGGATGAAATCCAAATTTTCGTTAACTTCGTAACGAAAATGTATGCACACCGCTAACGAAAATTTGGATTTTTTTAAAGTTGATTCTTACGACAATAAAACTTCACTCGGGAAAGAAATTCAGATGCATACGAAATTTTAGTTATCGGAAATTCTTATCCGTTTGTATTCGTCATTTCTGCCATTCAGAAATTCTGATAAATCCGAATGTATGGATTTCCAAAAATTGGTCCAAATAACGAATCTTTCCGAAATGAATCGCACATGTCTATCTTGTAGTAATCTCCTAGAAGGAGACACGTCTCCAACACATAACTTGTTTAGCGGTCAAGAAATATGTATCAAAGCGCTAAAGGTGTAAGTGGTATGAAACTTGGTGCAACCATGTAATAAAGTGAAATTAGTGTTTAAGCGATCTGGCCTAAACCCAATACTAAACAATTCGAAAGAAATCTTACATGGGATCATGAAACAAAAGAAAAAAATATATATTAATAATTCAATTATACTGTGAAAAACAAGATAGTGATTAAAACAGTAAAGGAATTTAACCACTGTGTAAAAACCATCCAATATATAACGATATATAAACGATCCACACAAAAAAATCGGAGTACAGTGTTCAGTGAGAAAAAAAACGTCGAAAACGTGTGCAGAGGAAAAATAATTGTTGATGGTATATATTTCTTAGCGGTGGTCCAACAGCCCCTCTTGGGTGGGTACTCACCAAATGGAGTTAAAACGAAGGCTTTTGGTTAGTGACACTTGGGCTTGTAATCACGCTTTCAAACTTGGACCCAGTCATTTCCACTCTAAGACACAGCAAGGTGAGTGTTTGGTTTTCTCCCTTGTAACATTAGCTGTGTCCCAGAAGCGAAGCTGGATCCTCTCAGATGTAGTGTTAGCGAAACTCCCAAACAGCTTTGGCAGTGAAAGCAGATATTGGTTGTACCACTAGATTATCTACATGTGTCTTGATGCATTTTGTTACAGTTAGTTGAGATAATAAATCTCAGTAATGTATATTTTTATGAATTAACATTCACTATTTTGTGATCCTTTTCAGGGTGACGCCGGTGGGCCATTGATCTGCGACAAAAAGTTCACAGCCATTGTCTCATTTGGGCCTAAGAAATGTGGAAATCCCAAATTCCCTGGAGTGTACACTCGGCTGACAAACAAGTATCTGACCTGGGTCAGAGATGCCATTGGAGGAGCTACATTCTAACTCGAAAAGTATACAGATGTGGCCATCGCATGAACATTGAAAATAATTTAAACAAACGATTTACCATACACTGTGTAAGGATGTGTTACACTGAGAGGAGCTACTTTTGTTTTACAATATTGTATTTTTCCAGTTGTTTTGAAGCATGAAGCTGGCCACACATGTTACAATATAAAAACGGCCGGCCGGGAGCTATCCTGATGTAACAGGCCTGTTAGCCCCGCCCACTCGGGGGCGGCGGGTGCGAGCTGGAAAAACACAACATTTAAAAACCGGCAGCGATGCCTGTTAACATACAAGCGATCCGCCGGCTATAGAGCCGGCGGATCACTTGCATAAGCTGCCGGCCCGTGTCCCCCTCCACGGCCTCCCCTCCCGTTGTCACGCTGGTCCCGGGCTCCGCTGTGCCTGGTGCAAGCCCAGGACCAGTATAGTGCCTCTCTGACAGGGGATCAGAGGGAGGTCGGTACACGATCTCCCTCCAGTCCCCTATCAATCACTGGTAACACTAAACTGATGAGCTGTAAAAACTTTGAAAGCGTCGCCTATGGTCAATTTTGGGTATGGTAGTTTTTTGCGATTTCGCTGGTGCGCGCAATTGTTAAGCTTGACATGTTTGGTGTCTATTTACCCTATGTGACCCCGTCTTTTATATTTTACCAAAAAAATTGGGGTAATAATAAATGTTTTCTAACATAAGGTATAAAAACTTTTTTTTTCAAAATTTTCAGTAATTTTTCCTAAATATAGTAAAAAGTAAATACCACCAAAAGAAAGCTCTATCTGTCCCAAAAAAATGGTATAAAATGAATTTCAGTACAGCGTTGCATGACGGAATAAATGTCAGTCAAAGTACCGCAGCGCTGAATACTGAAAAATGGCCTGGCCAGGAAGGGGTCTAAACACCTGGTATTCAAGTGGTTAAAGCCACACTCTGGGCTAAATTGTGTGTATACATTATCATTAAAAAGCTGTATGTTTTGTGTAGAGGGCTGTTACAAAGTATACAAATCTTGCCTTGCAGTATACCATCTGCAGGACATAACGCTGAGCTTTTGGGTATTAAGGGGAGACAGAGATGCTACTCGAGCACTACAGTCACATTACCTGCCCCTCCTTACTATTGCCCATACATAAAATGCTTTATTTTTCATAGAATACAAGGCATTCTGTAGAGAGGTGGGGGTAGGGATATGACATAATTTCTCCTCCAATCACCTCTGAGTTTAAAAAAAAATACAAGGCATTTTCTGAATGGAGGATAGTGAAGAGGGGCGAGTTATGTGTCTGGAGCGCTGTACAGCTCAAGTCCTTTTGCTCTCTTTCTTCAGTGCCTGGAAGCTGGGCATTGTGTACAGGGGACAGTGTTCTGCAATGTATGCTTTTTATACTTTGCAGCCGCCATGCATAACATAATAACTTTGCATAACACCTTGCTTCTAATGATAATTTACATACCCAGTCTGGCACTGGGAAACAAGGCCAGCGCAGCCCGAATGTAGGTAGTGTGACCAACGCCCTAAGCAGTTGCCAGTCAGACCTGGAAGGAGTACCCCCAAGAAACTGGTAACCTTAATTTTTTGATGGTTTGTCAAAAGGTATAAACATTTACCACATATGTTGTTACTATGGCCTTGACTTTGGGTCTAAGCCAATCCCAACTGTCCAATGAAAGCACTTCAGTTGACATTAAAAGTGTTGTTATTGGAAAGGGTGCAGCCAGGTGGGCAGAGCTTAGTCCAGCAATCAGAAAAGTTATCTCTATAGTAAGTAAGTGAAGCTAAATCAGAGAGGAGCACAGCGAAGAGTTTTATGGTTTGTAGATATAATAGAAGACACTTTTTGATGGCAACTCTTAAGGAGGACCTTAACTTTTAGACCAGAGTCACACTTTAACTGCCTCCGGGCCGGCCGTAGTAAAAAAACGGCCGGCCAGGAGCTCTCTAGATCTGAGCGGGCGTCTCTAGACGTCCGCTCAGACACACCCCCTTGCGCACGCCGCCGGGCGCGCGCGAGCGGGAAATGGCCGCAATTTAAAAATAGGCAGCGATGCCTGTTAATATACATGCGATCCGCCGGCTGTAAAGCCGGCGAATCGCTTGTATTTAGCGACGATCGGTGTGCCCCCCCCTCCCTCTGCTGAAACACCTGGTCTTGAAGTGGTTAAAAGGATAAAATAGCTGATGAGTTTGATTTAATTGTAAATTAATGTAAACCGGAAATATCTAACTGGAATAAATACAGTACATGGTACAACTACATTTATAAAAGCATAAATAAAATAGAAAATGCTAATATAATGCAATATCTGCAATAATTCAATCTATGTTTTTAGATTTCTCATCCCTACAGTTTATGAAATGAGGAAATGAAAGTTGCACACTAGACTGGTGTCAGTAATTATTGCAATGTAAATACAAACAAAGAAGAGGAAATAGCAACGTTTTTATTTGTATGTGTTATATTTTGCATGTTGAGTTTTAAAAATGTGGTTACTATTGTATACTGTCTACAGATACAGAAAGCTGCTTTCAACAGATGTGACAAAAAAAATAGCAATTTTGTTACTTTATAGCAAAGCTGACATTTTCTTGTTTGTCTTTAAAGTGATAATAAAGTCAAAATGTTTTTAAGCTTTTCCAAATGCTGATGAAATCACTTACTACTGCTTCTTGATGTTTAAACATTTTAGTTTTGCTGCAGAATCAGCTAAACCCTGAGCACTGGCCCTGATATTCTGTTTAATCCCGTATTCACACATGCGCATCACATTTGAGCACTCGTGTATTTGTGTACGTTCATGTGCCACGTTTGCTGCGTGACCCCATTGAGGTCAGTGGGGTCTGCACATGTGACAAACGTTTGGTTCCGTATTTGTGTGTTTTCATTAGGGATGCACCGATACTGATACTACAGGAGTATCGGTATCAGAGCTGATATTTGGGCAAGTACGAGTACTGTTATGGAAATTCGCTTGGTTCAACGCACAAATCCATGTCGCATTAAGCTGCGCCAAACGCAAAGAATTTCCCCCCATTGTACTACGCTCTTTTGTGCAAGGACTGGAAGTATCCCCTTCAGAGTCATGTAGAGTTAGGAGACAGATGTTGCTTGCTTGATAATTCCATGCTTACAGAGCGCAGGTATGTTTATTGTTTGATACCTGCCCAACAGGAAGTGATGTCAGACAGGAAGGGGTGTCTCAAACAGCGAGACAGGAAGTGATGGCAAACCAACAGATGATTTCAACAACCAGCAAACCAGGAAGTGGGACAGACAGGAAGTGAACAGGAGCCAGCTAACAAAACACATTAGTAGAACAATCACATGTAGTAGAATAATCTATCACCACAGGAGGGACTTTTTCCGGCATTGCTCAGTGATCAATGCCACATAACGTTACTATGATTCTCATGCGTGCGTAATTACGGGGACAATGTTATATTATATCAAGCGTGTTGATCAGGCACACCAGAGAGAACAAACGCACGTTCCTTTCATATACTGCGTTCCAAACAAATGTATCCACGCAAGCCAATAAATCCATGCATTGCACGGGGGGCCCCAGCCGGCGTCCATACATTCGCCAAGAAGACACTGCTCCGCCGCGCATAAGATATCTCCTCCAATGGATTAATCCCCCAGTGTCTATTTACCTAGACACTGAGAGACTAATGACAAAACATTACAATACACTAAAAAACACATCCTAGTAAAATTTCCACAACAGTACTCGCCTAAATGCTCCGATACCTGCCCCGATACTGGAACTTTCAGTCAAAGGAAGATTTCCTCTGACCGGCAGTGCTGTAGGGGAAAATTAAGCTGGCTTTCCGGGCAATCAGGAAGCCATGTGGCGAGTAATGACTCACTCTCCGGCATTCCTGATTGGCCAGGAACCCAGCTCCGTGCTGATTGGCTGGGAAGCTGACTTCCCGGTCAATCAGCATCGAGTTGGCCGAACAGCCGGCTCCTTGCTGATTGACTGGGAAGCCGGCTTCCCGGCCAATCAGCATTGAGCCAACCAAACAACCGTCTTGATGCTGATTTGGCTAGGAAGCTTGCTTTCCAGCCAATCAGCACAGAACCAGCTTGATTGCCCAGGAAGCCAGCTCCATGACAGTCCAGGAAGCCGACTCCATGCCAGCGGAAGCACACCGCACTCATCTTGCTGCAAGTGACCTGCAGCTGCCCGCTTGCTCACACTAAAGCCTTCTATTCTGCCAATGGCTACCGTAGTGGGCTTTGAACTGATTCCTCCAGTCACATTCCGCTGAAATCTGAATCTTGGCTGTTGTATATTAGTGGTCAGCATCAGTGGCATCACAAGATGAGTGCGGCCCATACCCGGGTGACACCTTTGGAGGGGTGACACCAAAATGACTGACAGTCATTTTGGTGTCACCCCCTCAGAAAAGTCGGGCACTCGGTCATGGACCGAGAGCCCAACAGTTGCAGGAGAGAGTAGGGCACCCAACGGCATACCTTATCCCGCCGGGTGAACGTCCCCTCCTCACCAAGATGGCCGCACATGCACGATGACGTCACGTCCATGTGCAATGATGTCACGGTGGGGTGACACCTGGCCTCAAGACGCCCCTGGTCAGCATGTTGTATTGGAAGTGGATTACTCCTGGGCAGAGGAAGAAGGTGAGGAGAAGGTTGAAGAAGAAGAAGATGAGGAAGATCCAGAATCTCCTCCAAAAGCTGTAAAAGGCCAGCAGCTTCCAACAAGGCAGGACAGGCAAAAGCCACATACATTGGATTATCCAGATGTCTGTCCATAGAAGAAATCCATCTAGTATCTGTATCTGGTCCAGTGGCTTCTATATCCTGTCAAATAAAAAATTTCTGTAGAAAGAAGAAGAAAAAAAAAAGTCCTAGCTCGTTGCTGGTCTGTCACCATCTCCTGCAACAGTGCTGCCATCTAGGGGAACCCCTAAGAGATCCCTGTACGCTGTGTGTGTGGGGAAGGGAGGGGGTGGAGACTACTCTGTACT